GATCCAAATATACTTTGCACCCATTCTCCAACAATTTCAAGCGCTGAAGATTGCGAATGCAGTGGGGCTTGATCGAGTACATCATGGCCTAACTTTCGATATGAGTATTCCACATGCTTTCCTAGGCCTGGTAAATAAAGATAATCTTGCCAGAAAATTTTTGGATGGCCAAGTGCACAACTGAGTCCGTCAAACTTTCCTTCATGAAATGCAAGGCCAATTTTTCCAGATTTAAGACAAGCTGCTGACATATGATGACCACCAACTTCAGTATAGAAATGTTGAGCTCTACCATAAATTCTAATTGGTAAAGCAGGAATTGCATCGCAGTTGATGACACCAAGACAAGAAAGCAATCGGGCATTTATTCTTTCCTTTTCCTCGTTTTCTTTTGTCACTTTTTTTTCTATTTTCTCGTTTTTCTCCTTCATTTCTTCTTTTGCTTTCTTGATTTCTTTTGTCGTTTTTTCTTGTATTTTCTCAATTTCTTTCATCATTTTTTTTTTGATTTTTTCATTTTCTTTTTTCATTTCTTCTTTTATTTGTTCATTTTCTTTCTTCAATTGTCCACAAGCTACAGCTAATAGTGTCATGTGTTTAGTATCAGCAGTGTGTTTATCTACATCTTTACGTAATGGCTTATCATTACAACCAGCCCAACTAAACACACAATCTACTCGCTCTAATGGACACTGGGTCAAATGATCAGAAATACTTTCACGCGGTATTTTTTGGGCACAATTGTTGCGGCATGTAGTAGGATACTTTGGGCAGGTGTTTAAATGATCTCCAGTAATAAAGATGTATCTATCTTCTAAAGCACAGTGCTCACACTTGTAAGGTCGTTCATTGCAGTCATCCTTTTCATGAATAACGAGCTTTTGACGCTGATCCTTTGTTTGACACTCGTATCGACATTTGACCTCTTCAAATAGACAATCTCCTTCTCTCTTCCCTTTACTAAGGTGAGTAGATAGATCCCTCAAATTTCCTTTCCATTCACATCCCTTCGGTTTATTAGTACAATAGACTTGTAACGAAAAATTAACAAAATGAAGGCAATCCTTATCTACGGAGTATCGAAACCTCTCCTCCATGCCCTCTTTACACATAGGACAGGATCCATTACTAGCTCTTGCTCTCTCAATACAAGACTTACAGAGAGTTCTACCACAGCAGCTCACCTGATGAGGATCTGTCAATATATGAAGACAAACTGGACACTCAATTTCAATTTGAGCAGGTACTTTGAGTTCTTCAACAAATAAAAGATCCTCTTTCAAGAATCGTGCCATTGCTAAACAAACAAAAGATATCATGTGACAGTTATGATAACAGGAATGTTTTTCTTATAATACCAATTGAAGAAACATAAAGTCTATCAATGTCAGAATCATTGAACAAATCATGACATCAGGATTTGTTCAAAAAATTGTTTAATTCTTTTTTTTCAAACAGTGCATATCTACAAAAATCCAAACTTCATTTCAAAATAACAATTGTGACTTCATTAGGAGAAGTAAGAACAATGCTTATTAATCTTATGGAATTGAGGGAGACCTGTAAACAAATGGATGCTTCATCATATGGTATTCTACGTGATCTATTCTGGCTAATCTCATGTAGTGAGGCTTGCCCTTTGTAGCTGCCCTGAGGTATGCTGTGTTGAACCAATGGCAGACCAAGAGCATCATGTGCCAACTTTTTTCTTGACCGTATTGGTACAGGCTTTGCATCACCAGAATCAAGTAACATAAAAAATTTTGGAGAGCCAAGTGTGCCAATTCTATCAAACTTTCCTTCATGAAATGCAAGTAGCAACATTGCTTCATATGGACGAGTCATTAGAACTGCTGACATATGATGACCACCAACCTCAGTATAGAAATGAACAACATCACCACATCTACTAACTGTGACTGGTAGAATAGGATATGTATCATTATTAATGACACCAAGAAAAGCAAACATTTGGGTGGTCATTTTTTCTTTGTAGTCTTTTGTTTTCTTCATTTCTTCTCTTATTCTCTCATTTTCCCTTTTTATTTGTTCATTTTGTTTTTTTATTTGTTCATTTTCTTTCTTCAATTCTCCACAAGCTACAGCTAATAGTGTCATGTGTTTAGTATCAGCAGTGTGTACATGTACATCTTTACGTAATGGCTTATCATTACAACCAGCCCAACTAAACACACAATCCAGGGGCGTATCTAGGAATTGGGAAAGGGGGGTGCTAAGGGCGCGCGAAGCGCGCCGCGATTTTGGCCACACCCACTTTTACGGCGGTAAAATGGCCTTTTCCTGCATTTTCGTCAATTACGGGTGGGGCCAAGATCATTTCAAGCATACTGCTATGTTACTGGTACTTCTGATTGCTTCTTAAAGCACT